TTGCTCAACAGCCGATACAGCACCGTGACGTCACAAACCGGCAGTAATGTTCTCTGACAAACATTGATGTTTGCGTGTTAAATGTGACTGTATGCAGACACCTCTGCTGCTAAGTGGGTTTAGCTCTGCATTCCCCCATGCAATTGTTTAAAATCTTTGAGTGTTCACCATTAATAAACACAAATTTGAGCATAGACAGGTAGCTCAGCTTCGCTGAGGTTTCACTATGGCCCGCCGGTATGAGGATCCTCTGCTGCTCAGAACAACATCATCATATTTAAGTAGGATCATAATCCTGATGAACTGACTGGACAGATGACATTCTGGCTTAAAAACTTTGAACTTGTTTTATCATTTAAAGAAAAAGCCGTGAAGTGTTTGGTAACTTTTGCACTATTTTGGTTACTTTTAACTATATCTTTGCCAAATCCCTCATAGTAAATCTCTTACTTGGAGTAATGGTATATCATCCACCTTATTTAAATACCAATGAAAAAATAACAATTGTCTTTGCTTTGTTGTTAAAACTATTATGCACCATATAAAACATTCTTTCGTGCTTATTTCCTATTTGTTTATTTACACTATTTCACAGTATAAAGTGCTAGGCTTGCTTTTGACCACTGCTTTCTGTAAAAATAAATCTTATATTTGCTTTTATATAAGAATTTTGGGTTATACCACTCAGCCCTAGTTCTTAGGTTCTCAGAGCTGCTCTATTCTCTGAGAAACATGTAAAACCAAAAAAATGTATTGGAAAAAAGAACATTTCTAAATTTAGTTTTCTAAAACATGCAAGCATAAAAACACTGAAATTTCACCTCTTCATCTTCCTTGCTGTCCTTCTTTGACTGAACCATTTCCCCATTGATGATGACTGAAGATCTTGTATTTTTCTCTGGCTTTCCAGCGAAAGAATGTAGGTTCTTTTTCTTAGGCAGAATAGGAGGTCGAGCTTTTGGATGTTTTCTGACGATATGGTTTATCTAAAAGAAGCAGATAAACAGATTTATGTTTTTCATGAAAACATGATTGAGTGAACATTAACTGCCTCAAGACCAAAAAAGAACAACCTTTCATTTCTGTGTTACTGTGGAAAATGTGATCTCATCAAAAGATTGTTTGTTTCAAATGATTTAATTAATTAAAAGCTTTTTCAAGGCAGCTTTGGTTCACATCAGTAAACAATTATAACCGTGGACCCTCTGAATATTTTGCCACTGATCGATGACTGAAAAAGATTTTTAGCAGGAAAAGCACTTTTCCTTTTTTCTTTCATATTTTGGTTTCCATTTCTAAAGCTTCTGAGGTCATTTTAGCAGAACAACCTTTACATTTCATTTTATTTAATTTGTATGCTTTCAAATCAACCTTGTAATTAAGTTTTGCAGTTATTCTTAATAATGACTTGAAAGGATTGATCAGATTAATTGTGATTAATCTATAACTGTAATAATCATAAACTTTTCTGTTAATTAAATTTAATTGTTAACAGTAATGGTTCAGACTGCCAAACATGCTATTTGCAAAAAGAATAACTTGCAGCAGTGATTAAGACAAAACTGAAAAGTTTTTTAAAATAAAAAAATTAAATAAATTCTTTCTAAAATAATAAAAAAATAACATGTTTATGTAGATATATTTTATACATTTTGCCATTTGCAATTCATTTAAAATATATTTTTTTATATGTTCAAAATATTTGTTTATTTAGAATTGGTCATTTACAAATGTATGTCTTTAGATTAATCATTTCATTTCAAATGTCTCTTTATTAACCAAATGTCACTGTAAAGTACAGTATAAAGGGTATTATTGTTTTTACCTTATTAATTTTCCCTTCTAAACATAACAAATACATATCTCATGAGTAAAATATCTGTAAAAAAGCAAAGAACATAACAAAACAAAAAATAAACAGAATAAAAAAAATGGATCCTAATAAAACAGAAAAAAAAATTCAACTAATCAAGCAAATAATCAATGGATAAATCTGTTTATATAATCTATAGGTGCATCCTTGTCATATCAGTGTTTCACAAAGTTTTGGATGATACTTTAATAACATCATTTTATAAATGAGCCAGTTACTTTGGTAAAAAGTGAGGCAAATTTTCCAAACTCCACACATTGATAACATTTTTCAATCATTAGTAGAGGTGTCAAGTAACAAATTAAAAATACTTTGTTACCTTACCTAAGTAGAAATGTTGGCTATCTATGCTGTACTTTACTTGAGTAATTATTTTTAATTCTACTCCTTACATTTTAAAATAGACTCCTAATTTTGTTTCATTTAAACTAATTTTCGTCATTGTCTGTTGGTATTTAAAAAAAATAAAAGCCATCAAAGACTGTCAATTTCCTTGTAGTTGGACTTGGTATTGCACCAACTTGTTGTTCCATACATACCAAAATAAATTGTTTTTCAAGATGATGCAAAGTTACATTTGACACTGTTGCCATTAGTTATAAAAGAAAATTAAGTAAAAGGAAGTTATTGTCCATAATTGTAGAAAATGTTCCTTTAAAAACCTAGTGCACTGCATCTGTCATGAACATTTTTCCTGCATAATTTTTACTTTTATGCTTTCAGTAGTTCTAAAACTGGTACTTTTAGACTTTTACTCGAGTGAAAAGCTTGAGTTGATAATCCATTTCTACAAAAGTGTTTTTTTTAGCAATAGGATTTGTACTTGTACTTGAGCAATAAACATTAATACCTGTGACACCTCTGATCATTACCTTACAAGCCAGGTGAATCGTTTCTAGATTTGTAAATTTAAAAAACTCCCAAAAAAAACGTTTTGCCAGAAGCCAACAGATACTTTTGGTTCGATACAGAAATGTTTCAGAGCAATAAAATGCAGTGATGTGTATGACGTCACCTAGATGTAGAAGGTTGGAGCAAAACATACATGGCTGCACTGGATTAAGCTGGACTAGCCTCTATTTCTTTCTGAAAAACTAGAAAAAGGCGCATGTTTTGCCTTGGTGGATAGTAAGATGTCCCCTAGTCCCGATTATTTAAGAGTTTCAGTTAGAGCTTTAAAAAAATCAAGAATGTGATACGTCTCAGCTGCTACTGCTGCTGTGATTGGCTAAAAACTTGACATGGGAGGCAGGTGCCCAATCAGCTGAAAGAATCCTACTGAATGTCCCTCCCTTTAGCAAACCTTTTCTACGGGAGGATTTCCAGATGGATACTTGTAGAATTCAGAATTAATTATGCCAGTTTACTTTAATGAAGCTCAGATTGTTGGATCCTGTTGGTTTTTTATGGCTTTAATGCTACCAATGCTTAATTATCTATCCTGACTTTATTTAAAAACAGTGATTGATCTGGCTAGCAGACCTTTTTTATGTGTTAATAACAAATTATTAATATTGATATTATATTAACATTGAGCAGAAAATTTTATAAAGTGATGATAGTTAATGGTGGCTCTCAGAAAAGTGGAAAATGCATTTTTTTTTAAAAAGTGGTCCTTAGTTATTTGCATTAATCTTTAGGAATAAATATAGAATCATTTCAGAATTGGAAAAGCAATTTTCTTAATCCAGCCCTACTGGTTTGTGTTACTGTACTTCTTTTGACCATTACATAAACAGTATACAATAAAAATTATTTATAGTAAATACAAACCATTACACAGATAATGATTTACCTGCTCAGCAGCTGCTGCTCTTGATTCATCGGAATGCTTGAGCAAGGACTGTCTGGCCGAAGGAGCTGAAAGAAATTTGGTTATCGCTTTTTTGGACTTTTTTTTCAACTTAGCTGCTGATAAATTCATTTGTACCTACAGGTATTTTTCTCCTCCTTAGACTCTGAGTAGGTCTGGATCCATAATGACTTGGCCCCATTCTGACTCATAAATATGCACAGTTAGATCATGTTACATACATTTTACTTTCAACTGCAACAAAATCCAGACTAATCTTGTGCTGCTTTGACAAAGTCAAACAGTGGAAATGCTGGCAACTGAATCCCTGTGGATGAATCTGTTAAAAAAAATTAAAAGGCAAAATTCTTTTTTGGTTTTTTTACCTCATGACCTGAGTTTGATAGGCTGTCGTTTCTCTTCCTCTCATCTCTCTTCTTTCTTAATTTTTCTAAACAATCCTGAATTTCTTTCAGAAGCTGAGATCTCGGTGCCTCCTGCCCTGATGCTGGTAATGGTGAATCTTTCTCGTCGTTCAGGACTACAGGCGGAGTCGCTGGAAGTCTGATGACAGATCTATAGTCTTCCTCTGAATGGATGACTGCTTCCATAAATACAACAGCTGGAAGCTTGTTGGGTAAACGTTTCATCTAAAAGGTGAATATTTTTCAAATATTAAACACATTCCTAGTGTACTGACTGGTTATCTAACATTTTCTAAAACAATTTACTAATTTAAAGAATTTTAGGTATAATTTATCCTAAATCAACATAAATTGTAAAAATATAACAAAGAATAACAATTTGAATGAAGGTGAGGCAGAAATTCCCAGCTAATCGGCTTACCTGAAGGTGATGTGAGGAGATGTCAAACTTGCCCCATGATACATTGTGAAGATCTGGGGATCTTTGAGGAGACACGTCTGGAGCTGCAAATTAATCCATTGTCATGATCAACACCAGGATTTTTTATCCTCCAAAGTTATGGAAGAGAGAAACTCTTTTAACGTACATGAAACAGGCTCCTCCTTGATTCTAGAGGCTGCTGTTGTGTCATTATAACAGCTCACAGAGCTCCAGCAGTCCTCTGGTCTCTGAAGATAAAAAGTGAAAATATTTTTTTAATAATACTGTGAGTTTATAATGCAACTAGACCTAATGTAAAGACATAACCCTGTAAGAAGTGAATTTTGATGCATCATTGTTGGAAACAAAGAACACAGTTATAACTTGAAATTCGAAAATCCAGTCACAAAACTGTTCAAAAAATGTTCTTCCAAAAAAGCTAAAAAACAATCCACTGCACATTGTTTCCAAGTTTGAAGACATTTCGCTTCCCATCCATGAAGCTTTTTTAATTCAAAATTAATTTAATTGAAAAAGCTTCCTGGACAGGCAGCAAAATGTCTTAAAAACTTGGAAAGTCCAGTGGATTGTTTTCTAACTATTTGGAATGACAGTGACTTGGATGCCTGAGAATCTTCACCATCATATTTGAAAAATGTTTTAATAAAACCATTAGAAAATTCAGTTATGTATTATTTTATTAACATTTCAATTTATGAAATGTATTTTTTCAAATTTTACAAACTTTAGATTTCAATCCATTATTCCCCCAAAAAGTAAATTATTGAGTCAAATATTGCACTTAAACAACAACAACAAAAAAATCAAGAGAGCAGCTTTAATATCCAATTGGTAAAATGTTAATTTGAGGTTAAGTTATTAATGACAACTAAATCAGGGTTTAACCATAAATCCAGCTCAGGAGATGATACAGAGTATGAGGTCCAAGACAGCAAGATGTATAATCAGAAAGGAATAATTCACAGACTGAGATACAGTTTTTATATAACATTTTAGCAAAGAATCAAAGAAGATACTGTCAAAATGTATCCCTTTTTCAATGGAAACACTCTCGTGATATACAAGAAAGCTATGGCTTTATGAAAATGGCCGCCTATTAATTAATAATCATCAGTCATTCGGTAAAATCAGTTAACTTCAGACTTAACTCGTATATCAATATCTTTCATCCTTAAGTTAAGTGTTTAATACACAGATTTTAAAGATTAGTTTGCAAATGTAGGAAAGGAAAACAGATGGCTGAAAAAATGTTCCAGATCATCACTGATTCATCTGATCATCAAATCGGATGAATCCATTTTTCCTTCTCACTTAAGTTTCAATAAAAAACAAAGACAAATGAAGCCTACTGTCTAAAATACAAGCTTTGAAACATGCTTGTTAAAGAATCATGTACAGTGAACCCTCGCTATAACGCAGTTCACTTTTCACGGTCTCGCTGCTTCACGGATTTGCATCATGCATGGTTAAACTTTATTGTCAAACCTATTAATGGTGGCATGTCGGTTTATAAGGATCTTTTGGCCCAGAAGAAAAAAGAGCGACAACAACTACCGATAACTATGTTCTTCTCTCCAAAAAGCACACCTGCACCGCAGGCTTTAGAAGAAATGAACGCCACAGAGCAGAGTCAGGATGCAGCGGCTCCGTCAAACAACAGTGAAATACTGTACTGTACACGTCAGTCACTATTTGTCCTACTGTACTTTGTATTTTTCATTTTCTCCCGTTCCAATCCGTCACGGCGGGGCGGTGCTGATCCCCGCAATATTAACCCTTCATTTCGTATTGATGATAAAAATTATTACTTATTTATTTATAACTATATTATTTTACAGTACAGTACAGTAGTTATTTGTAAAAAAAAAAACAAATGCTTGGGCCTGTAAAAAGTTTTTGTTCCTTGATTTCAATGTTATATGGAGTATTTCATTGTATAATAACTGTAAAAAAATAAAGGTTTCTACTTCACGGATTTCACCTATCGGAACGTAACCCCCACGATAAACGAGGGTTCACTGTATATCTTTTTTATGCATCCTATTGTGCTTGAGACCAGTTTAATTAATGATCCCAAAACGTTCTTTTTTAAAGCATTGTCAATATAGTTTCAATAGCAGTTTTATTTTTGTCTGATCAACTTACAGTAAATGCCAAAAGGATAATTCAATTCAATTCAATTCAATTCAGTTTATTTATATAGCGCCAAATTCACAACACATGTCATCTCAAGGTACTTTACAGTTCAACCAGATCATACAGTCAAATTGATACAAAGTTTTCTATCTAAGGAAAACCAGTTGATTGCATTGACTCATTGACTCAAATACAATCCCTCACACTAAGCATGCTTTTAGTGACAGTGGAGAGGAAAAACTCCCTTTTAACAGGAAGAAACCTCCAGCAGAACCAGGCTCAGTGTGAGCGGCCATCTGCCGAGGCCGACTGGCCGACTTATTTAACCCCTCTTAATCATTAATAGGGGTTAAATAAGGTTTTTCTTCTAACTTGAAGGAAAAGGAAGAAAACTAAAGTTGTGTCTAAAGGAGAATATAAACTTATAATGTATTCTGTATAATGTTTTCTGTGTTCTGAATCATTGTAAGATTTTTCACAGGTAATAAAAAATTATACAATAATCAAATTTAATTTAAACTAAAAGTAATCAAAAATAAAATTTATCTTTACCTTTGAAAACATGGCATGCTCCTCCACATAACGGCGCGACTTTGATCTTGTTGCATTTTCAGAGGCTGCAGGACATGTAAAAGTTGTGATGAAAAAGAAAACATTTAGATTAATTAGATTGAAATGAATCCTCGTTAGACTAAATATGACCATTGATCATACTTGGGTTCCGTTGCTTTTTGACCCTGACTGCTGCTGAAGAGTTGTTGAAGTTTTTTATCCTTGGTGTTGGAGGGGAATTCTGTGAAGTTAGGAAGACAAAATTCAACAGGTGTTTAAATGGAAAATTGTTTAACTAAAATATGAAAATGCTAAAATTATCTTTATACCTCCTTTTTTATTTTCACTGTATTTGATGGAGGGTAATTTTTGTGACCCACTTGTGGGTTCCAGCAATCCTTCCAGAATTTCTGCTCTTCCTTTGGAATCGCCGCCCCCTTCGGTGTGCAGCCCATCCTCCCCTGGTGGATTCTCAGCCCACGATAACTCGTCATTTTATTCCAGCCACAGTGACAGATCTGGAGGCTCATGTCTGAATAGTAATTTGTACTTTCTGTTGAATATATATTTGAAGAGGCAGGTCATCAATCAATTGCTGAATGACCTTGCCTATTTAATTAGTCTTTTTTGTAGAATCAAGATCTAAAATCACATAATCAGCCCACCTGTTTTGAACATGCTCTGGTCAAGCTTGTAGCTCAGATCAACCTTTTCCTGTCCTGCAAAAGCGCTGATGTACTGCTGCTGAGGCTGTGTGATCCTCACACCCTGCGGCGTGCATCCCATTCTGCCTTGGTGGATCCTCAAGCCCTGATAGGTCGTCACTTTGGACCAACCACAACAGTTGCAGACCTGAAGGCTCATTTCTGCAATCGGTCTTGAGGAGATACAGTGGGACAGACTTCAAACAGGAACAGACACTTTGGCTTTTATATCTAACATTAATCTTTCAGTCATCTAAAGCTTTGAGTAATAAATGGCATGAAATGTTTCTATTTATGTGGATCTAGGTTAAAGTTGAGAAATTGGCCTATTTGGCATTCAAAAAGTTTAAAAGTTTTTTTTGTTGTTGAAGATGCATTTTCTTTTATTTATTTTTATTTTTATAAAGTATGTGTTTTTGTTTAGTTAGCCACCAAAATGAACTAAAAGTTAGCGATTATTAAAAGGCACCATACCTTTTATAGGGTCTCGTTTGCCAATATAAAACTGAGAATTTATATCCAGCTGCTGGATAATAACCTAACAAATTGCTTTCACATGTTCACTGTTGCCATAAGGGTCCAATAGGTAAATATATATGAAATTTTATTATCCTTTTTTGTTATCCTCAGTTATCTCTGGAGTTATGCTGCTACAGGCTTAGACTGCTGGAGGACATAGGGACCCCTTTTCATTCATTCTGCTTCATTCCATCTCTATTCTCCCATTCTGTGGTATTTGTTAGTTCAACCTCTAAATTTATGTTCTTTCCTGCTTTTTCTCATCAAAGCAGCTTGATCTGGTCTATTCCTGTTTGGCCATTACACCATCCTGGAGAGAAATATCAACTGTGCTGCTGCCACTAGCACCTTATTATACTGAACTGTTATACTGTAGATGTCGAGGCTTGGCCTGTTTTTCATTGTAGTCCTGTTTTTCTTACTGTGACTAACAGTGTGTCCTGCCTTTGATACTGGCTCATCTGCCAGTCTGTGTGTTTCCTGGAGGGGGCCGCCCGTGGAGTTGGTTGACAGTTGCCTTTTGTATCTCTGCTTCTTTCTGTATATCTGCTTCTGTCTCCTTGAACCCCAGTCAGTCTCGGCAGATGGCTGCTCACACTGAGCCTGGTTCTGCCGGAGGTCTTTTCCCATAAAAAGGGAGTTTTCCTCTCCACTGTCGCTACAAGCATGATTGGTCTAAGAGATTACTTTCGAGTCAATGAGTCAATACAATCAGCTTGTTTTCCTTAGAAAGAACACTTTGAACCAATCTGACTGTATGATCTGGCTGAACTGTCTCTGTAAAGTGCTTTGAGATTACATGTGTTGTGAATTGGTGCTGTAGAAATAAACGATGTTAACCATCGCCCGATCTCCCAGGGCAAGTAGTTTTTATTGTTGGAAGCGTACAAATTTCCTTGCATTTGCCCGCCGGGCAAGTGCAATGATCACAAAAAAAAATTATTTATCACTCAAAATGACTTTAAAATCGCCGACATTCGATGAAAACGACCCAGAAGCGTTGCCGGCACCATTTTTGTTGTTTTGTACACATTCTCGCATGATTTGAAAAAGCCGCGTGATTTTCTGCCAGATGGCGTGAATTTTGTCCGGGAATCGGCGCGGATCAGACACATTTTTCTCGTGTTTGCAGGCTAAAAAACAACAACAAGGTAAAAAAATATAAGTACAGTAAACACACCCACCACCTATTTTACCCTCCACCCATTTCACCCACCACGCAGATAACCCTGGATTAAAAAATATTGGTCAGGGATTAGGAAAAATGGCATAATTGTATGCCATGTGCACAGTGTAAATATGGCTATCATATGGCAGTCTTCTGTACAGTGATGCAGGTCATACATTAAAAAATGTTCATTAATTTTTTTTTCTCTTAAGACATTGGAGAGGTGCATTTAAATGTTATAGAGCTAAACATGTTAAATTGGTGACCTGTTATGTTATTATTATTGTCTTGTTGCTGCATTTATTTTGTCAGGGAAAACTAATCCTGAGTCCTTTAAAAGTCAGGGAGTTCTGAAATTATGTAAGACTGTGGAAACCCTGTATAAAATAACTATGTATAATGATTCTCTAGAAAAGTTACATTATAATAATAGTATTATCTTGTATAAACATACCGTGACTCTTAAATAAAACAGTTATAAAATAAACATGTTTCATTGGGATATATACAAAAATGAATATTAGGAACTATACAGTATTTA